CAACTTATGCTCTATTTATAGCAGTTATTTGAGAGAAATCCGCCCCTTCCATGGTGCAACAAGCACTAGATCATGGAGAAAGCACTTACATGGTGGTATATACACTTGCTTGGTGGGAGGAACACTTGCACCATTGTGGGAGGTGCACTAGGTTGCTTATTGTATTGTGTTGCAACACAATATACGGATTGGAAAACATCCGTTACAAACACGGATTATATCACGTTAATATTCACTATTAACAAATAAATTTGGTCCAAAAAATTAATCAATCGATCGATCATTTGACCAAATCCGAATCCAAATCTAAATCCCATTTCCCATACACTCTAATTTTAAGACTATTTCATCTTAAACAAAAACTCAACAGTTCTAGACCAAAGAAAACATAAACTACAAACCAAGTAGCAAACAAGATAGAAAAGCTTGAGATTTCTTAAGAGTGCAGTATCTCTCATTTGGTCGATATTGAATTGTATACTCTGTCACCTAATCCCCAAGAAAGAGAGAGAGAGAGAAGGAACTGGGTTGGTTAGTGAGATGAGCTCACCTGGTCGATTTCGAGGAGGAGAAAAGGAACAAAGAGCAGGGACTTTTGACACTGGAACGAAGAAGATGTGCTGGGCCAAGGCGGGGTCAAGAGATAGAAGAAAGGGTAACGCCATCTTTTCATATTAATTTAATAGATCAGTGGCTAATTTTGCTCCACGCAATTTTTAAAAAATGGTTATACACGCAAAATGGTTACTACTTTAAAATGATTAATAAAAAATAAATACTACTTTAAAATATGGTTACTCCACGCAATTTTTACTTGGCTGCCCTAAGTCAGCCCATAACTTTGTTTACTTGGAAAATCTATCAAATGGATTTTCCACACTAGAAGTGGAAAACACAAAGCTGCTTTGTTCAAAGTGGGACTAAACTTTCCACTTATGTTGTACTTTCTCTCCTTCATATTAAATGAGTATTTTTTGTTGTATGTTCTAAAATAAATGACATATTTTTAAATTTAGAAATAATTCAACTTTAAACTCTTTCATTTTATCCATTTATTAAGTTTTTATAGCCACACAAATATTATGGCCCCATAATTTTTAAGACCACAACTTTTAAAAATTTCTTATGCTATTTATAAAGCCTCACACAGGTTGTATTTGTTGTGTTAATCACAAAATAAAATCCTCAGTTCTCTTCAATTTTACTTTGGGATGCTGGAAAATTTCGTCTGTTTTGCCAAATAATTGCATCCCCTGAACTGAATTGAAGCTTCAATCTTTCAATTATATCAATCACAAAGTAGAAAAAAGATACTTTATCTATAGACTATAGTAACTGCAATTTTTACTGCTGGCTATGAAAGAGAAAGTCCGTCCAGCGAAACCTCACTTTTTCAAGCCAATTCAGCCAGGTTTCAAGCACGCTCTGGTGAGTCAAATTAACCCTTTTAGTTATTTTCATTTGTCATTTGTCTGCTATATGTATGCATGTATGTATGACATGGAGGTGAACAATTTTTCCCAGAAAAAAGAAAAACACTAATATTCTGAAATTAACTATTTGGGCTAGCTGATTGTAAGTGCCCATTTGGGCTAGCTGATTGTAAAGAGCCAAAGGCGGAGCTAAGATTTTGAGTTTATGGGATTCTGGATTCTAAAAAGTGGCTTATTGGCGAGTAAATACATATTAAGGGAACTTTTAATATAGATAAAGAGTTGGAACCAAAACTATTGGGTTATGCTTTACCGGTAAGGACAATGCTGGCCCCGCTCTATAAATAGCTGATAAGCATAAAGTTAAAGGTGAATATGTTTTGATAGAATTGCTGAAGCTGATATGTTTGGCAAAAAGTAGTAATGACCAAAATATCCTTAAAGTTTTGTAAAACACTAATAAAAATAAAAGTATCTTTGTCTGTGTATCAATCTCAAAAAACAGAGTTAAACAAGAGATATATACTTTGTTCACTGTGACCATGGCCGAAGTCACATTGTTATAACTTATAAGATGGACCAGCCTTCGTCGAAAAATTACATTGTTTATATAGGTAAAATATTACATTTTAGAGTTATATAGCACATATTGAACACCCTTTGTCGGAATATTTTTTCAGTTCTTTCAAATTTGAACACCCTTGGCTAAATTCATAGCTTCACCACTGACTGTGACTGCTTGCCATGAGAGTCCCTCCAAAGAAACCTCATTTTTTCAAACCTATTCAGCCAGGTTTCAAGAATGGTCTTGTGAGTATGATATCTATTTCTTCTTTCCTTTGTCTACTATATGCATGTATCATATATAGGTGGAAAAATTTATCCTAGAAAAACCATAGTCCATATGAACATTCTTTTAATTGTTTAACCGGTTAGATAGTTAGTACGATTTCCTCTCCTAAGATTTGGAACAAGGCTAATCTAAGTACATAATGCACTGCAGAAAATTCCTACTGGTTTCTTGAAGTATCTGAAAGGATATGACCATATTGAACATGCAATACTTAGAAGGGGTAGTAAGCAGTGGCGGGTGAAGGTGAACGGTTGCCGATTCGAAGTGGGTTGGGCTGATTTTGCACAACAGCATGATTTGCAGTTAGGAGATCTGTTGATTTTCAGACATGAAGGAAACATGGTGTTTGAGGTTATCATATTTGATTCAAGTCATTGTGACAGAGAATATGCAGAGTATCTACTACAAGAAGAAGATATTGTTGAAGAGGCTTGCAAGAAATTTAAATTCAAAGGTAAGATCTTTAGAGTCCATTAGTTTATACTTGATGAATTTGTAAGCTAATTCCCTTAGTCTTTAGACAAACCAAACCCTGCATCTTGTTTGTCATATTTAATTTCTTCAGATGGATTTCCCCTTGCAGAAGCTGCTACTCACAACCCTTTTGGTCAATCTCATTTTGAATGCACTGTTAGATCCTATTACCTTACAAATGGTTACATGGTAAGTCTCAAAACTGATTTCCCCGTCCCCCCCAACCGTTAAGAATCTTCAGGTAAAGGAAACATAAGCACCATTTTCTTTCTTTTTTTTCCTCTTTGTTAATTGGAGTTATTTACGGTGATAACATGATGCCTATGACATGCAATGTGCAAATGTTATAAACAATTTCAGCGTGTTCCGTCACGATTTGCATCGAAAAATGGTCTCATCTACAAGAAATGTGATTTGATTATTAGAGATGAAAGACAAAGGTCATGGAATTTAAAGCTATATACCTCTTGCGATCACGTCTATATTGGGGGCAGATGGGCTAAATTCCATGCTGCAAATGACTTAAAGGTGGGAGATCGAATAAAGTTTGAGGTTGTTACTAATGGAGAAAGACCAATTTGGAAATTTCATGGTAAGGTTTCTTAATTAAGCAACCTCTTATTTTTCTACGATCCTTTTACTAGGTTATATACAACATGAAATTATATTACATCTTCAATAACATTATTCAGTATTTGGTTGCCCATACTGTAAAACATGTTTTCCATAACCAACTACACTTTTCAAATTTACCGAATCTTTGGTAGGCAGTGTTATCCGGTACTTGTGCTGATGGGAGGTAGCAGGTACCCGGCGGAATGGTCGCGGTGTGCGCAAGTTGGCCCCGACACCACTGTCATAAAAAAAGTCAAAATAAAGGGGTAGTTTGCTCTATCTGTTCATCAAATTTAGATGTTGAGTCCTCTTAATGTCACGTTTTTGTTATTTAGAAAGTTGAAAGTAACATCTATGAAAGTTCTTTTACTTGGAAAGGGTGAAATAGCTATCTACAAGATGTACTTGTTTTTGTGAGCATTTGTCTTTGAGTTAATTAAGATGGTCTTCTTTAAGTTCTTACTCAAGCTTTCTACACAGTCATTTTTGTAACTATACAAACATGTTGCTGAAAGAACAAGGGATCCGATGGTCATTTTAACCCGTAAAAGCACTTTTACAAGTCCTACTAAACTCTACTGAAGTATATTATCCTTTCTCTTGTTTGCTTGGCCCTTGAATTTCTTCATTGCTTGTACAAGTTGAGGGAGGGTGGTGATTTTCAATATGTTGTTCTAATGTATGCATTGCTGGAATACAGTCAGATTCAAATTTTATATCATTGAACTTTATTTTCATAACATCGGGAAGCTAAAAGAAATATCAAGAAGGGTCTACTTTGGGGAGTGAATTCCTGCTAATATCGAAAAATAAGCAAAAGTTAGGGTGGATGTTTGGACAATATTCATAAAATTTAAGTTGTATTCTTTTTGTCATACTTAATTTCTTGACATGGGTTTGTGTTATCACCCTATAACAGTCAAACGAAACCCCAGCATCAAGTCATCGAGCAAGGCATTTCCCTATGCTGAAGCTGCTACTCACAAGCCTTTTGGTCCCTCTCATTTAGATTCAGGGCACTGTAACAGAGAATATGCAGAGTATCTGCAAGAAAAAGAGGAAGAAAAAGAAGAAGCTGCCGGCGATGCTGTTGAAGGGACTTCCAAGAAATTTAAATTAAAAGGTAAGATCTTTGGAGTCCATTAGATATGCAGTTTGGTCCTCAAGCCTTTTGGAGATTTGTTGATGACATGAGTATAATGCAGTAGTTTGTGATCTTATTAAGAAAATTAGAACTTTAAAACAGTAGCACAAAATACTGTAATTACTGAAGTGTGCACATTAATTGCATCACAATAATTACCACATGATAATATCCAGTTTCTACGTATTATAGTACAAGTAATTTATACTTGACGAATTTGCAAGTTAAGTCCCTTCCTCCTAAAACAAGTTCCAATTTATTAAAATGAAAAATTAGCCAAAAGATGGGGTGGGTGTTTAGAGGCTATGCATGCTTTAATTGTAATCATTTTGTCTTATCTAATATTCTTGACATGGGTTTGACTACAATTCACAATTTAATAGAAAAAAAAACTCCAGCCTCATGTTATCAAGAAAGGTCAATCTCATTTTGATGATATGTGCAAATGGTTATTAAACTATTTCAGTACCTTCCTACACAATTTTCACTGGCAAATGGTCTCACCAACAAGAATTGTGGTGTGATTATTGGAGATGAAAGACAAAAGGTCATGTAATTTAAGGTTACCTATCTACGGGTTTAAAGTGTATATTGGAGGTAGAAGGGGTGAGTTCTGTGTTGCAACTAACTTAAAGGTGGGAGATCATATAATGTTTGAGGTTGTTACTATGAAGCGATCTTTGTAAAACACCTCCTATATGTGGAATATATTTTGTAGCAAACAATTTAGCTACACCAAAAAAGGGCCCAATATATACACTCCATTTTGTAATTAAATAGTGTATTATCGAGTCATATGTCATTGTCTCTCTTTTATAGAGGTCTTTTTTAATTGCTTTTGCTTGTTATAAGAAGTGTGCTTCGTCTTTCATAGGTTATAGTTCATCCTAAAGGGGCAGTTGCACTATTTATTCACTCAAGTTTATACATTGAGTGCTCTAAAGGCGACCTTGCCGGTCTTTTTACGTAACTTCACCATGAAATTTATTTTTGTGTTTGTATATTCAAAACTGTAATAAATATTATTTATAAACAACTACATATTCTAAAATTTACCCAACCAAACAGTTTTGAAGACGATTTATGAAAGATCTTTGTAAAACATTTCCTATATGTGGAATCTATAGCAAACATTTTAGTTATACCAAAAAGACCCTAATTTATACGCTCCATATCGTAACTAAATAGTGTTTTTGAAGTGTTAATAACATTGTTCTTTCTTTTATAGGGTTCCTTTTTAGTTGCTTTTGCTTGTTATAAGAAGTGTCCTTTGCCTTTCGTGGTTATAATTCATAGTAAAGGGGGCAGTTTGCTCCATTTTCCAATTAAGTTTATATATTGAGTGCTCCAAAGGCCCTGTCCCAGGTTCCATGAGGATAAATTTTCATATGTTATAATTTTAAAAAGTTTGAAGAAAATTCGTATACTTTAAAACGATATTTGAAGAATAATATCAATACAAGTTCTTTTTCTTGAAAAGAGAAATAGTACTGAGACGGCCCTTTTTGTTGAATGTTTCTATTCGAGTAAATTAAGATGGTCTTCTATCAGTTCTTCCTCTACCTTTCTAGACAGTCTTTTTGTGATTCTACAAACATGTTGCTTAAGGAACAATGGATTCAATAGTCATTTTATCACATAAGATCATTTTTACAACTCCTTCCAGATTCTACCGAAGTATATCATCCTTTCTATAATTTGCTTAGCCTTGAATTTCTTACCTAAGTTGAGGGAGGGTGGTGACTTTGAATATAATGTGTTAATGTATGCATGGATAGCATAACCCAGTAAATACTAGTATACTTATTCTTTTTTGTGTTTCTAGAATCTAGTCATATTAAAATATAAATCATTAAACTTTATTTCTGTAACATCATTCTTGTTTCCTTATTATTTGGAAGCCAAAAGAAATTTCAAGAAAGGTTTACTCTGGAGAACGAGCCCTACTCATTTTGTGGTGGTTGTTTATACACTGTTCATACTTTAACTATAATCTCTGTCATACTTAATATCTTGACATGAAATTGTGTATACAATTACCTTGTAACAGAAGAACCAAACCCCAGCGTCAAGTCATCAAGCAAGGCATTTCCCCATGTAGAAGCTGCTATTCACAAGCCTTTTGGTCATTTTGTATGCACCATTCGACCCTATTGCCTTACGTATAGTTACTTGGTAAGTCTAAAAACCCATTTCACACATACCCTTCAAGAATGTTCGGGCTAAAGTGATTCTGCATTACCATTTTCTTCTTTCTTCTTTGTTTTGGCGTAAATCTTGGTGAAAAATATGAAGTTTTTACTGATATGCGCAAATGGTGGTATACCATTTCAGATCCTTCCTACACAATTTGCACTCACAAACGGGCTCATCAACAAGAAATATGATTTGATTATAAGAGATGAATGGCAAAGGTCGTGGAATTTAATGTTACGTCCTTTTGGTACTAGCGTGTGCATTAGAGGTGGATGGAGTAAACTTCGTGATACACATTGCTTAAAGGAGGGAGATCAAATAATGTTTGAGGTGGTTACTGATGGAACAAAACCAGTATGGAAATTTCATGGTAAGTGTCTTTTATTTTTTTTTCATCTTATATACGATACACTATGACTATATTTGGTAAGATCTTGCATAAAGCAGTTTTTAGCTTAATGGAAGAAAGCACTTAGCGTTCTAGGAGAGCGTAATTCATTTTCATTTGTAGCATTTCAGTTCTTATTCTTATCACTGGTTTCTATCAGTATATAAATATTATTTCTGCTCTTTGATACTCATTTTTATCACCTACTTCCCACAAATTACACCTTTTCAAAAGTTTAATCAACCAAAGTGGAAAATGATTTGAGAAGTGTAATATTTCTCACAAAAAAATCTTTTCCACATTTTACGGTCTATTAAAAAGTGCCTCTGAAACAAAATAATTTATATACTCCATGATATTTCTGTATAGAAAATGTACATAGAGTGTTATATAACATTGTCTTTTCATTTCTCTTAGAGTCCTTTTTATCTAATTGCATTTGTTATAAGAATGGTGCTTCATCTTTCATAATGTGATTCACTCCATTTAGTAACTTAAGTTTGACGATCGAGTTTGTTAAGGTGCCCTGGCCCTAAGTTCCATTGAGATAAATTTTCAAAGAGTAGTTGGGAAAATTCACTTGCTTCCGAACAATACTTGATGAATAATATCTAGAAAGTTTTTTCCTGTTAAAGAAAAATAAGCTGTGTGTTTTCTTGTGTTACTTAGGTAGTCTTCCAACAGTTCTTCTTCAACTTTTTCTAGAAAATCATTCTTTGCCACTCTTCAAAGTTCATTAGACTTTTTTTTCGTTACATAGTTCTCATCTCCTTAAGCCTTTTCTTTCAAAATAACTTGGAAGCCTAAAAAGTTTCAAGAGTTTTATGGTTGATGTATTGTCTCTCAAAACTGTAATTATTTTAAGAAAAACTTTAATTAAAAAACCATGTAAATGTTTTACAAGAGCTTGAAGATCATGTAACCCTACAAAGAATGTGTTATGAACCTCAAACAACAATTAATATTGATTAATAGCAACACTTAGTACATGGAAATAGTAAATAACATGATAACCATTAACGACATTAGGATAGGAACAAAAAGAAAGTAGGGGGAGAGACAGATCCACAGAGAGAAATAGACGAGGGAGAGAGAGACCAGAGAGGGGGGAAGTTTCTAACAACATTCAGCCTACTATACTACTGCTACTATTCCCCTATTTAACTATTCATTACAATGTACCTGACCCGTAACCCGGATCCCAGATATAGGCCAAAAGCCTTTGTGGTGATATTTTAGTTCTTCCGCGTCTCCTAATTGGCCCAATTCTTGCATCTGCAGACAGCCCAATATCCTCTTTGAGCCCAAATTCCTCATCCATCATGACAGAATGTCATAGAATGTAGTCAACATTTTAAACACTTGTGCTTTCTAGCAGGTTTGACATTACTAACTTACATAAACTAATGTACTTTTGTAGGCAAAATTTCTGGAGAATGCAAGAATCAATCAAGGGGTTGACTGAACAATGAAGTTTGTTGGTGACAGAAAAGATATGGAACACTGAAACAGAATCTCTGTTTCTCGGTTGACTCAATATACGGTTCACAACCTCAACAATGCATGTCATGTTTTGTTCCAGAAAACACGATGCAAGGAAGTAACTAATGGCTCATCGGAGGTTTCTAACTGTGAATACGGTGTTTCGGTGTAGCAGGAAAAGAGGTTGTAAAGGTGTTTTGGTTGCTATTTCTTGGCCAGGGCGGATGCAACATAGGAATGTCGGGTTCAACTGAACTAAGTGCTTTCGACGTGGAACATATATTTTTGTGAAAAAGTCCACCAAAAATGCAAAAATTAGTATGTATGAACCCATAGCTTTACCAATACAATGAGTTCAATCCTAAGAACATTGGAGGTTGAACCCATAGAATTCAAATCCTAAATCCGCCCTTGAACAAGGGTGTGATATGTTCATGTATTGTGACCAGCTCGAGAATTTCTCATGGATTGCTAACATCCTTCAGACTTTTCTGCTTCATATTCTTGCACCTAAAGGATTGATCTAGTGGTTAATAAAATGGGTGAGAACTTTGGAGATCAGGATTCAAATTCCATCTGAGATAAAATGCTAGGTGACTTGTTTCTGTCTGTTTAAGTCATGGTAGGCAGAATTATTGGTAAGGTGTATTTGTGGGAGGCAAGCTGACATTATTGAAAAATAAGAACACTTTCTGAATGAGCTGTGTTCATGTTATGACTCGATCCACCGTCATCAACTTCCATGAATTCCTTTGAAAGATTTGGGAACTTATCCATTTGTTTAATGATTTGTTCCATTTTTCCTGCCTAAGTTATATATATAGCTGATTGAGCTGGTTTAACCCATTGGGTGTTCATTACAAAACTCTTTCTCCCAACTGTTGCGAGAAACGGAGAAGTGATCCTTCAAATACCTCAAATATGGCCTTTAATCACCCCTTTATTTTTGTTTCGACATTTATCTTTGGGGGACCAATGTTGGAAATTGCTGACTAGTAGTTGTTCGTGTAGCAAATCAACTACAGTAGTTGTGTTTTAGGGGGAAAGAGTCAAATTTGCCCATTTACTATTTAAAATTGATCAATTTTGCGCCTTTTTAAACTTTTGGTCTAATATTAAATTCACTAGTTCAAAAAAGTCTTATCCTGTAAGCTAGGGCTGCTCGGTGGGCCGAGCCTGAACCGGACCGGATCGGGCCCGCGGTCCTAACGGGCTTGGTGGCCCTGGTGGGCCGGTCCTGGGTGGGCCG